GGGCTATATATTGGAGGTAGGGTCAATTATGGGCCGATCCTCATAAAATTTGGTAGAAAGTTTGAGTTTCCTATAAAACTAGTTTTTGTCAAATTTCATCGCTATACTGTTATTTTTAAGTCTGGTTTGTCTACTTAAAATGTATTCTGGGCGGGCACTTATGTTTGTTTATGTGGCTATGGGTGAAATTATTGTCCGATACTGTCCATTTTCAACACCAAGCAACCTGCATCAATAAAAAATATTTGTGGGAAATTTAGCCCTCTAGCTGTTTTCGTTAGAATCTTATTTGATGACGGGTATAAAAAAATACTAAAAAGGGAAAACAAAAATAAAAAATTGATATAGACCATAAAACAGTTGGTATTTAATTTTTGATTCATTCTTTGTTTTCAATATTTTTGGTTTATTTATATGTGCATCATGGGGTTTAGAGTTTATTTTGTTGTGTTATGGTCGTATATTCTTAAAAGAGTTGGTGAATTGTCATGGTGTTTTATTTGACATATTAGTGACTGATTGAATTGTTAGTCTTAGACATTTTGTGGAGGCGTCAAAACTATTTTACTTTGGAGTTTAATTTGCGGATAGTGTGTTGTCATTGAATTGGTGAGCGGAGTAAGTTTATTTTGCTTGCATATATTTTATTGTCTTTATTTCTTGTCGTATTTTACAATTGTTGTTGTACTTACTTCTGATTACATTATTTGAATGTGGAACTTGGTTTTAGATATTTGTTTTTTTTTTTGTGACTTTGTTTTCTATGTTGGGTAGTCATTCCTATTATCTTGTATAGCTAAGGGTGCGTTTAGCTAACAGGCTCTCATGTTCTTGTACTTTCAACTTTTTAGAGATTGGGGATCATGCTTCTATCTTTTAATTTGGTCGATTGTTTTTATGGCAGGGATACAGAATCCTGACTTTGGTGAGATTGTTTTTCTTGGCTGGTTGTGATGAACTTCCATTATTAATATTTTGACATTTTGAGTTAGGTTTTTAATTTTGGTGGTACAACTTTTTATATATACAATGCAATTGATTTTATTATTAATAATTTATTTTTTATTTTTGAATTCTTTGTTATATGATTATATTTTTAAGTAAAATTTTTTTAAGTAGAAATTTGTAACCGATTATGGCCAATAGGCTAGGTTTATTTTGGAAAAAAATTAAATTAAATTATTAAAAAATAAAAAGAACAGGAATTATTGTTGTCATTGAAATCTTTTTTTTCAATTTTACATAACGGTGTATAAATCTATAATTTTGTTCAAAACATTTCGTCAGTATATTATTGGTTTGACCCACCGACCATTTTAAAAAAAATTGAGTTAGGAGTGGATTGTATATAATTTGGACATCCTCTTTCCGAAACCCATTTTTCAATATTTGATACGATTTCCGAGATATCGGGTGTTAACTTTGGTCTATATCCACAATTTTAAGACTAAATAAATATTATTTTGCTCCATATGCCACTGTTTGGCGTAAAGACCACAATTTTCATACAAATACTGAAAACAAATTGATCAATATTGTTTTGCTTCACTGCCGTAACAAAAACGTAGATCAAAGCACCCATAACAAGGTGTTTTTAAAATTCTTGTTTACATTATTTGTATATGGATTTTGACAGATCTATTACACTGATTGTTATTTTTCAGCATACATAATTTGACAGTTTTTGTATACGTATAAAATATGTGCTGGTCTGGTAACACCATCTTACAAATTTAGTGAAAAGTTTGCACATAAACAACAACAATTCATAAATAATTTGAGTGCCGAAGTAAAAAATGCAATTTTAATCACCAGCTCCGTTTTTTCCGAAGAAATTATTAATTAAGTGGTATTTAATTGTTTGTCTGACATTTTGTTATAGTTCCATGCCATTAGGATGTTTGATGAATATTTACTACCTTAAAAACACCATCAGAATGTTCATCCGACATAGCAGATTGAGAATGTATTATGGGATATAGAAATAGGTAACTAATATTTTTAGGTTTTTGGAATACTTATCAAAGGGTATTATCCTTTTTAGCTTGCAGTGCCATCAAATTCTAAAAAAGAACTTAATTTTCTATGGAAATAACTATTTGCTGTAGCTGTGAACTGAAAATTACGCTCTGCATCAAGAAAAATTTTAAAAAATCTTGGGACACCGGTGTCCCATATACATACGTGAAAGAGATATAGACCAATATTCAAACCATTTGATTGAAACATTTTGGTTACTATAAAACGTTCTCATTTCGATTTTCATCATTATAATGGCATTTTAAGCATATAGTTAAAGTCATTTTTGATGGGGGCTATACATGAGGGGTAGGGTCACTTATGGTCCGATCCTCATAAAATTGGGTAGAGTGTTTGTGCTTCCTATAGGGTCACTTATGGGCCGATCCTCATAAAATTTGGTAGAGTGTTTGTGCTTCCTATAAAACTAGTTTTTGTTGAATTTCATCGCTATACTGGTATTTCTAAGCCACTGCTGACTGCTTAAACTGTATTCTGGGCGGACACTTATGTATTTGTATGGGGCTATGGGTGAAATTGTTGTCCGATACTGTCCATTTTCAATACCAAGCAACCTACATAAATAAAAAATATTTGTGAAAAATTTCAGCCTTCTAGCTGTTTTCATTCGGATCTTTTTCGATGGTAGGCATAAAAAATTACTCATTTTGTATGGATATAGACCCTAAAAAGGGAAAACAAAAATAAAAAATTGATATAGACCATAAAATACAAATTTTTGTTTTCATTAAAATCTTAATAACTATTTTTCAGTTTTACATAAAGGTGTGTAAATCTATAATTTTGTTCAAAACATATGTCGAAATCAAGTGTGAAAAATTAAAAAAAAAATCTATCACGTATATTTTGAGAAAAGTTTATCTAAACCTTCTTATTCGTTTTTCTCAATAACAAGTGTTTGGCGTATGGGTCAAACCAATAATATACTGACGATATGTCGAAATGAACTGAAAAAATTAAAAAATCTATCGCGCAAATTTTGAGAAAAGTTTATGTAAACCTTTTAAGACATGCTTTTGAGGAATTTCCTATTTAAAATAAGCAAAATACGTCTATAAATAACGGAGAGATAAAAAAGAAAATTTTTTGCATGCTTTGATAAATAAGCAACAACAACACTGCTTATTGGAAAAAAGATGTATGTTTGGATGTATGTGGGTTTCATTGCGTTGTGTATTTTGTTTTTTGTGTATTTTGTTTAGTATGTTTAGATGTCTGTCTCATTGCGTTGTGTATTTTATTTCGTTTAGCGTTGTTGTTGTTTGTTATACCCTTCACCTTCGAAAATATAATTTTCCGACCCACTGTCTGTTTGTCCGTCTGTATGTGTGTCTGTTGAAATCTTCAATAATTCTGTCAGACATGCTTTCGAGAAGTTTCCTATTTAAAATCAGCAAAATCCGTCCATAAATAACGAAGATATTAGCAAAAATCTGAGACAACCTCTGAACATTTCATAAAAAGATTATAATAGTAGTAGTGTGGATTACTGTAATTTATTAATTGGCCAATAAGGCTTACAAATTACAAATGAAATAAATAAAATAAAATAAAAAAAATTGTTAAAAATATTTATGTTTGGATGTATGTTGGTTTCATTACATTGTGTATCTTGTTTGGTATGGTTGGATGCTGTTGGTTTCATTGCTTTGTGTATTTTGTTTTTTTTTTTTTTTTTTGTGTATTTTGTTTGTTATGGTTGGATGCTGTTGGTTTCATTGCGTTGTGTATTTTGTTTTTTGTGTGTTTTATTTCGCTTAGCGTTGCTGTTGTTCCTTTTGTTTTGTCATTGCTATAGTATTGATAGAGTCGGATAAATGAAATAAATTGAAATATTATAAATTCAATATTTTTTAAATACACTATGGTGAAGGGCATATAAGATTCGTCAAAGGCGAATATAGACTTCTTCTTTTGTTTTGCTATTGTTTAAGTAATGATAGAGTCAGGAAAATGATATAAATTGAAATTCTTTTTTTAACACACTATGGTATTTCAAATATTTAGCATTGGAAAAAATAATAGAGACGATTCATATTACACTGGAGACATAAGCTAAGATTTCTTAAACGGCGTTTTTGTACTTATTTTAAAAATTTTAATTCTGAATGATATTCCCAATATCAAAATATACATATATATCAATATATATATATATATATATATATATATATATATATATATATATATATATATATATATATATATATATATATATATATATATATATATATATATATATATATATATATATATATATATTTATATATATATATATATATATATTTGCGAAATCATTAGCGATAATAGACAGGGGAAATTCAACGATATTTGCCAACTATTCACGGACTATCAATATCGGACAACTGGAAGCCAAGAATGAAAGAAATTATGTTTTTGGCAAACATACATATTTCATGTTCAGACGTAATAAATATGTATGACTATATTAATTGACACCTATTATCATCCCATAAACATAGAAAAAGTTCGTATGACAAACAACAAGTTTTAATATAATTGAACTGTTAGAAAAAATACCCCTATATGTGACAATAATTATTTTCTTCACTTTTATTATATTAATAATATAGAATTTCAAAATCAATCTTTCATAGAGTAGGCCGGCGGAAAATTCTTTTGATAAATAGTATTAACAAGATAAATATAAATGGCATAGACTTTTGTTCAACCGATTAAGATCTAAAATGTCGCCCTTAAATAAAGCAAAGTATTTAATAATTATAATAAATAACTAAAACGTACAATAAACCTAACTGGTTAGTGTCAACTTGCTCCGTTATGACCTCGAGAATGTAAGGGTGGTGCACAATTCTGAAATTTGTACATACATACATATATCTTTTCATAGCGTTAAAAATAAAATTCCTATTACTTTCATTAATATTTATCATATACGTTTCATAAATCTTTCCCTGTAAAAATATATTATTTTTCACCTTATTTATTATCATTCACTTACAATGTCGTAGATATCTTTTACACTTTTATATACACAACACGCACACGTACTACAGGAAAATTTACACGGTATTTTTAATCATTCAACATATGTATTAATTTTGTGCAAACATTTGCAACATAATAAATAACAAGAAATATAAATACACACACAAAACTTCTATTATTTCAGTAATTTGGAAAAACAATATGTAATTTTATTTTTGTTTATTAAATTGAAAAAAGTATAAAATACCAATATTTGCAAAAAAAAACATAAGCTTCTCCTACGTTACTTTAGCTGTCAGAATGTCAAAGAGTATACTTTGCACGAAAAAGTGATGTAAACTAGAGCAATTTTGTCTATTCTAGCGATTTTAGAACTCAAATTTAGTACCGGTTTACAAGAAACTTTTTCTTAATTGAAGCATGCAAGCGTGTCAAGTATGTTGGCAAGGGGAAAAAAATGATGTAGCAAGACACGCACGAATCGTAATTTGAGGTGTCTTTACGACATTGCTTTTGCTTCATGTTTGTGATTTTCTAGCAGAGATACAAGCCGTCTCGGCTCAAAAAGCGGCAGCTGGTCACCGGCAAAATTTGTCATGCCGCGCCGCGCCGCGCCGACTCAAAAACTTAAAGCTCCAAACACATACAATCCTTTACGACGAACTGCTACTGACAGCTCGTGTTTATTGTATGTATTTAAATGAGAGCGGTCATAATCAATACGACAAACTTGTGCACGAAGTAATAAAGTTGAAAATATTCAACTTTGGCGGAGAAAAACAAGGCGATGCAAAATCATCGGCGGCGACGTCGCAACCATTTTAGGTCGGCGGCGGCGGCGGCGGCTAAATTGTCTGCTCAATTTAACTTTTTCTTCAGAAATTGAACTTATAAGCGTTTATTATATTCAAAAATCTCTGTATAATAGTCTGTTATATAGAAACCTGTCTCTATATAAGTTTTTTCTGCGAAAAATGGACATTATTATAGTAGTTTTCACTATTTTAAAACTGGCACAATATTGTGTGGCAACTATTCTCAATTTGCCATTAGAATTTAAAATAGTGGCAACTTCGTTCAAATAGCTGAAATTATTTTCTGATATACAGTTAATCACAAAAGTAAGTATACAGAAATACTGACGATTGGTTTTATTTAAAAAAAGATATTATTTTTCCAAAAAACAAGAAAGTAACACATTTAATGATTAAAAACAATTATGATAATTATTATTCACTACTTTTTTTCTTCATATTTTGGTTCTTTGAGTTCTCATTTATGCTGAAGTTAAAAAGGTGCAAAATTTACGTCACAAAAGTAAGTATACAGATCATTTCAGTATATATTTGGTTTAATGATATTAACAAAATTTATGAAAATGTTACTTGTATTAATATAATTACTTTTTAATAAAATATTTTTTACACAATAACTTGGAAAAAATCTACTTTTAGTTCCGAAATCTTGAAATTTGGGCCGATTGGCTCCGGAATTAATTAGTAGAACAGTTTTTTCTCATTTCTATGATTTTTTTCCACTTTAGACCTCGGGTTTTGGATCTGGTGGTCATTGAATCCTCCAAATGATGCATTGGAAATAGAATTTTTAACTTTTGAAAAGAGTTGTTATTTCGAAATTAATGTTATATGCATGGATTTGGCCATTTTGAACACAGTACGTTCTTAAAAAACCGAAATTTAACTCCGATTTCTTAAGACTTACAACATAATCTTTAAAATTTGGATAATTCTATATATTTCCTTTAATATAAACAGGTTTTCCAAATACTCCGATTTCCAAAGCATACAATAATGCTACCAATCATATCTTGATATACTCGATACAATAACCATGTTTTATGGATCGGACATTTTATTTGTTCTAGCAACAAATTAAGATGTATCCGTGTTCAAAATTGTTCAATTCGTATTCATACCACCAATTGAGCCTGATATAATATAAAAATCTTCCTATTTTGGACAATAATCAATTTCAGAACCGATATGTAGTGTAAGTTATTGACATGGTCACCATTTGACCATTATTGGTAGTATTTAGGAGTGTGTAATGGATGATTGGAAACAAAAAACTTGTTTTAATTAATGGATACTAGTACAAATATTATTAATATCGCATTTTAAGACATAAATTTAGGAAATCGCCGTTAAATATCGAATATGAACGCTATAATATGTTAAAAACGGCCATGTTCCGCAATGGATTGCAATTATTGTAAAGAAACAATTAATTTAAAAGTTAAAATATCGTCTTCCAATGCATCATAATGAACAAACGAGGGATATTATTGAATACTCTTATAAATATTATTCAGATACATTATCAAAAATTTCAATTTTTCGGAACAAAAAGTGAATTTTTTCCTTGTTATAGTGTACAGAATATTTTATTATAAAATAATTACATTCAAACAGGTAAAATTTTCATTAATTTTGTTAATATCATTAAGCCAAATACATATTGAAATTATCTGTATACTTATTTTTGTGACGTAAATTTTGCACCTATTTAACTACACCTTAAATAAGAACTCAAGTAACCAAAATAACCCGGAAAAAAGTAGTGAATAATAATTATCATAATTCATTCGTAATTCAGCTCTGGGTGGAGGAAGATCGTCGTGCGTCGTTGCCATTATCGTTTAAGGGTGATCAGGCCGTCCTTTTTGCTCTGCCTTCGAGAGTTTTGCGTCTCAAACAGCATTGGCCAATGTGTGACGTCAGATAATTGTACTGAGTTACAGTTTTTCTTGAGGTGCATATTTGGCCATGTGCATTCGTTTTAACTTAACCTAAGTTTTTAATTGGAACATATGAGCTAGTTTTTTCTAGCTAGAATTGGTGATGGCGTTGTATAATTTTAATTACTGGCCAAATAAATCTTAGTTTCGAATACTAAGTAACTTAAAGAACAAACAAACAAACAAACAAACAATTATCATAATTGTTTTTAATAAATAAATGTGTTACTTTTTTGATTTTTGAAAAAATAATGTCCTTTTTTGTCAGTATTTCTGTATACTTATTTTTGAGATTAACTGTACATGTGCGAATCCAATCTTTATCAACGGCTACGTTTAAGCCGACTTAAGGAACAGTTACGGCTGTATTTATAAAAACTTATTTTAGGTTTATTAAACAATTTTAGGCAAAATTCAGGAAAATCGTATTTATAAACGTGAAATAGCTTAAAACATCTTCAATAAACCATTGACAATTAGAAGAATTTTATTGTAGGCTCGACCCTTCTTTAAGCCAACAATAAGTTGATTTTTAACAATTTTTTTCTCAGATAAAGATTTTTCCGGTAATTTTAGGTTGACTGCGAAAAGTAATTATGGTTTCTTTTAATAAAATCTAAAAATTCTAATTTTAACGTTTACAAATTTGTAAATAAAATCCCAGAAAATTTTTAAACGATTATATTTTGAGGAAAAAACTCAAATCTAGGCATTATTGGGTTAATGCATGAATATTTGACAATATTCCAATTGTCCAGCACTATTTTTAGGCAATTTGGTAATGCCCGTCTGTCAACCAAATGATGGACAAAATCATTTGATTTGGCTTTTTCAAAGTTTGTTGGTTAAATATAATGCCATAAAGTAATTAACCATGTAAATTATATTGATTAGTGTTATACTAATGCAAAATATATTCGCCGGCATTAAAATTAGTCAAATATCAAAGAAATTTATCAATATTTGCAAAAATTTATAAAAAATTACAAGGAAAATAAGTAAAAATAAGAAAATGTATCATAGTGATGTATATTTTGTCGCAAAATATCCGTTATTCGGATACTTTTAATAATAATTAGAAATTATATGTTATATTTATATATCTGAACTACATATATATTTATTGTAGCCATGTATACATTTATTTTTCTTTAAAGTTCGTTCTTATTTTCAGAAATGTGTTATAACCAAAAATATAAAATTAAGAAAACCGACTCAACGAATATTTTATCCTAATTGTACGCAACACTAACACAGAAAATGACAGCCAAATTGTACAGTGCTGCCAAGTTAAACAATAAACAGCACAATAGTTAATATACGTTTATTATTTGTTTATGAATATCACAATTTTATTAATGGTTTTTAAGGCTAAAGTGTGCTTTAACTATTGAGTGCTTTAAAAGCAAAATAAGATTTTTTTATAAATACAAGCGTTAGTCTCTACGTTCCGTTCCGTGAGAATCAGCTGACTCCTTTTTGGCTTACGAAAACTAGGGTTCTATAAATCGACTTTCGAATAATCAAACAATCGACTTTTTGTCGAAAAAGTCGAAAAGTCGAAGTACACACATAAAGAAAACAACGCACATAAAGAAAACAACCCGACGAAAATAAAACAAACCGTAACAGCTGTTTTATCAAAATAAACATTTTTTTTGGTGTGGTGAGTTTTTTTTTTTTACAAATATGTGTTTGTGCACGTGGAAAAGACGCAAAAACTCGTTTTCAATATTTACATTTTCAATATGTGTTTATGCACGTGAAAAAAGATTCAAAAAAATTGATTTTCATGATTTACTTTAAAAAAATTATTTTTGATCAATTAAAATATGTATATAAATGTGGAAAGGAACAAATCTAATAAAATATAAATATATTTGGGATTATATCGTTACAGAATGCCTTTTAATAAAAAACATTCAAAAAATGATACTATGGTCATATATAGAAAATGATATATAAATGCTATCGGACCATCTTGTGCACGATAAAAACCTATATAGAACTTTAAGTTGAAAGTATAGAAATCGGATGGCATACATTTTTTTCCGGATTTCATCGTTCTTTTACAAAAAATGTTACTATGGCCGTATATATAAAATGATATATAACTGCTATCGGACGATCTTGTGCACGATAAAAACCTATATAGAACTTTAAGTTGCAAGTGTAGAAATCGGATGACATACATTTTTTTCCGGATTTCATCGTTCTAGGGTGTGTACTACAACAACAAACTTTTTTTTTTACAAAAAATGTTACAATGGCCGTATATATAAAATTATATATAACTGCTATTGGACGATCTTGTGCACGATAAAAACCTATATAGAACTTTAAGTTGGAAGTGTAGAAATCGGATGGCATAATCTGTTTGCGATTTTAGCTAGGGTCAACTGTGGACCGACCCTTACAAAATTCAACAGATAAATTTTGTTTCATATAAAAGTTGTTATGTCGAATTTTATATATATACATTTTTTAAGCCAGTTATGAGCGGTAGTAATTTCCCGAGGCGGACCTTATATCGGGGATAGGTTAAATTATGGACCGATCCCCTTAAATTTGACAAAACGATTTT